AAGGGATCAGAAGATAGGAATTCCTTACCCCTCCTGCCCCTCTACTCCCTGCTGCCCCCAGCATATTCGGCCCTGCTTGCACCCATCATATTGCTAGGCAGATGCTGTTCGCATTACACTAATGCCACTAGATTGCTTCTCAGTACCATCTAATCAGGAGTGTCCACACACCTTGCATGCCTCTGTCCAGCATCCCTCTCAGCTCGCTGACATAACTGCTTGCCAGGAGTTGGGTGGGATGTCAGCCAGAGCATCACAGTTTGCTAAGAGCTCTTTGCAGCCTAGTACACTTTGGCCAGAAAGGGGGAGGCAGCTGTGCCTCCATGTGACCCAATGAGATGCTGCTTGAGGCAACCATCTCAGGCTGCCTCATTATAGGGATGACCCAGCAACTCCCTTCAGGAGCCCCCTCCCTTCACATCAGTGGCCTCTCATTTTACATCACAAGCACCCCTTCACATCAGAAGCCCACCCTTCACATCAGGAGTCCTTTTCACATCAGAGTCTCCCTTTACATTAGAGACCCCCTTTCAGATCAGAGTTCTCCCTTTACATCAGAAGCCTGCCTGCACCATAGAAAGCATAGAAAGGCATGTCACTGTGTGAAAAATTCAAAGCACCCCTGAGGAAGCCACACACCCTGGTTAGGAAAGGCTGACCTAACCCCGTCTTTTCCCTATAGCTAAATGAATACACTATTGATACTGAAAGCATTCTGCACTGGATTTGAAAACCTTGCATCACAATCAGTGTTGATATATCATACAAGATTTTTCAAACCAAGCTCAGAATCATCTTTAATTGTCCCAAAAAAAACCCATAAACTATTTGAATTTTACCTAAACCCAATAACAAAAATACAATAGATTGCAGCTTATCAGTCCTTAGATGTAATGGCTGCATTAGCTTTCTCTTTTCAGGCTTACTTTGATTCATTTTCACCTGCTGATCCTGCCAGTAACACACCTGCTGTCCCATCTCCATTTTTTATGGAGGGGGTGTTCTTTAGTTCACAGAGGACAACTAGGAAAGCAGATAACATTAAGTGTTCAGATGAGTGCAGAGAAAGTTACAAGTTTATTGGATTTCTGGCAGGATCATCAAGTATTTCTCTGTTCTCAGCTTGAAAAACTGTTGCAGCCATCACATCTAAGGACTGCTAAGCTGCAATATATTCAGCTCCTGTCACTTGGTTAAGATATACTGTAAAGTCCAGTCATTGTTCAAATATCAATCAGGTTGAAAGGCAGGACTATTGCTAAAATTTTTTTTTCTAAAAATGTCTATTTACAGAGTTACAATCTACCATTGAGCTAGTTGTCCCGGGAATCTAACATAAGCAAACCTACGGAGCTGTCCCTGGTGCTGAAATAATTTAGGACACTCTGTTATAAGATTACTACTCATGCCATTCACTCCGTTACAGCAGTCAGATATCACCTGAAGGTCTCCAACTACTGTGGCCAGGGCCGGGTTTACTCTCTCTGCTGCCCCAAGGCCAGGTTCCTCAATGCACACCCCTACCCGCCAACCCCCCCCCATGGAGAATAGCAGACCTACAAGCTGCATATAAGTGATCGCCGAGATCACTTGCCCAAAGCAGTGCTAAATGTAGAAAACAACTACCTGCCCAGCACCCGGAACTGCATGTCCTGGGCATCGGGAGATAGGAATTCCACATCCCTGCTGCCCCTCTACTCCCTGGTTGGCCTTGTGGGGAATCCAGCCCTGTCTGTGGCACTAAAAGTCCCAGCATGCCCTGCCCAGATTCATCTGGGAGGTTATGCTGGGTTCTGAAAACATCTCTAGGGCCGCATTTTTTTTTCTCACCTTTGCACCAGTAATTACAGTAATTCTTTTAACGGTACGGTAGATCGCTGGTTTGCAAAACAGCATCTGGGGAGCAAAGCCCTGAAGATCGCCTACAAACAATTAGCAATTGCATCATCATGTGCTCTGTGCCTACATACTGGTGACTAACATTAAAAATATTGTATTCCAGTAACTGTATGGGGTCAGTAGTTGTAATGATGGAATTCAGACGTTTAATCTTTATTTTATTTCACTTGATTTTTTTATTGTACTGTGTGTTGTATTGCATGGAAGTCCCAGGGGTCGGGATAAGAGTTGAGGGGGAGAGCAGAGCGGGGTGCTCTATGTACGTCCTGTGTACTTCCGTGATGTTTTTGGGACATATGTAGCATGTGGTTAAACGAAACTTTTATTGAGGGCTTATAGATCTATTGCAATAACATTAGAGTGGCTGCCATTACTAATTATCTTCTAAAAAGTAGGCTGCTGCGTATTTTGCACTAGGGATGCACCGACACCGTTTTTTCAGATATTTTTTTCTTGGTACTTGCCTATACCATTTACCGGTGCCATGTCCCCAGATTATCAGGAAGTCGGGCGGCGGATCATGACCCGTCACCCGGCCTCATGATTGCCTGTGAAAACGGTGTTCTTGAGTAAGAACACCGGGTTCACATGCCGAGACTGCCTGGCTTGCTGACCAATCAGGAGGCTGGGACGCGAGTCATGACGTGCTGCCTGGGTTCCTGGTTGGTTAGAAAGCCAGGCTGCTTACCAACAAGTGAAGCTGGCTTCTAGGCAATCAGGAAGCAGGGTGCGGCATGTCATGACCCCCCTCCCATCTTCCTGATTGGCTAGGAAGCCGGCTTCACTTGTTCCTAGGCAGACTGGCTTCCTGACCAATCAGGAAGCTGGGAGGCGGGTCATTACGTGCTGTCCGGCTTCCTGATTGGTTAGGAAGCCAGACTGCCTAGCAACAAGTGAAGCCGGCTTCCTAGCCAATCAGGGAGGCGGGTCCATGCTCCCCCAGCACTTGTGGTCAAAGGAAGATCTCCCTCTGACCCAAAATTCCATTATCACCCAAACTCACCCAAATACTTGTTATCGGCACCGATTTGATACTAGTATCGGTATCAGTGCATCCCTAATTTTAATCCATCACTGGGTATATAATGCAGGGATCTTGAGGTGCACATAACTGCAGTAGCTCCCGTACCTTGCTGCTACGCCTGAATGCCAGGCCGTCCTCTCAGGCAAAGCTCCAGCACTTCCTAATAGTGTCCAAAGCATGCCTACTCCCTTCCACGTTCCACGCACTCCTATTGGCCCATATGGTGGGATGATTTTTAGATGTCTACGCATTGTATCTGACAGATACTTTTTTCTCCAATGACAAATTCTAAATATAACTGCGCAGTCCAATAGGCACCAGACTTAAGGTGCCCATACACTTTACAATCCTTGCAAGACTTTTGTCTTGCGAGGGTTGTAAAGTACTTAAAAAAAGCATACGTTTGCAGTCACCCCTCTGAGGGGCGGGCTTGCGATGACTGCAATGAGGGGCGGGCTTCCGATGACTGCAAACGGGCAAACGATTCCCGGCGGGTTTTCCAGCCTGCTTGTTCGACGGAAGACGATTCTCATACGATCGCTGGATTTCCCGCGATTCTTGTACGAGAATCGTGCAGTGTATGGGCACCTTTAGTCCCACTGCTCTGAGGAATCTGTACCTGGTCAATAACACCAGATCCCCTTCTTTACGATACAAGTCTGTGCAAGAATACTTGTGTTGAGGGGTGTGGCTGTTACTTAGTTATGTCAGCACAGAGCACTGCAGTCTGAGGGCAGGAAGCAGCATTTTCACTGAGATAAAGCAATTTCCAAGCAATAATCAGTCAAAAATCATAACATGCGAGGATACAGCACTATGAAGAGGGAAAAATGTGTGAGGCTTCAGTTAGGCTTTACGCTAATAGTAAATCTCTATAAAATAAGATACATTTCTTCCTTCATTCCTTGCTATATCAATCCCTTTCTCCTTTCTTCTCTTTCTTTCTTACATCCTTTTTCCCTTCTTTCCAACCACTCTCATATCTATCTATCGTTCTTTCTTTCTTCCTTCCTTTTCTTAGTCCTTTCTTTTTTTTTTCTTTCTTTCCTTTTCTTTCTTTCTTTCCTTCTTTTTTATCTCCTTTCATTTTCTTTTCTTTTTTTCCCTTCTTTTTTCTATTTCCTTCCTTCTGTTCTTTCCTTCCCTTCCTTCCTCCCTCACCCCCCTCTCCCCTTGATTTACATGACCAGAACGAGGAGCAAGGTACAAAGAAATGCGGTAACCCTTAGCAACCAATCAGTATTCACTTTACTGTCGCTAGACCAGCACAAGACCTCTGACCTCTCACTAACAGTCAGCAGTATAAAATCACAATATTTAAGTAAAGAAAAATATGGCTTTTTCTCTGGGGATATATAACTGCTATTCATGTATGTCGGCCCTAACAATGAATTTCTCTTATTTGCTCCCTTTTGTTTGTTTTCATGAATATACCATTTAAAGTGTTTTCTTATATTTGTTTAATAAGTGTAAACAAAAAAACTTCATGTTGATCCTGCCAGAAATCAAGGGCTCGGTCACACTATAGGGAATGCATTAGCATGTGCATAACACACATCTGCTGGCATGCAATTTTACATGATGTAACGTTGTATAACATGCGTTGTAGTGCATTATTATATCTTTGTCCTCATTTGACTCCTTTGCTTTTACCACTGCACATAGAAACCTGTCCTTTTTTTCCAGCTCACAGCTAAGTGGCCCCATAAAAAGGCTGTTTGGCTTGTATTTTGTTGGGCAACGTAGCCCAACACTGGTAGTGTGAAGGGGCCATGAAGTCGTTTAGATCTCCTTTAAACTCTATGACCTAAAGCCTAGATCACATGATCACAGGCTGCAAGGGGCATCATAGTTGTCACATGTCATGAAAGGCTGTTGACAGGGCCGGATTTCTCGCAAGGCCACCAAGGCCCGGTCTCAGGGCAGCAGGGAGTAGAGGGGCAGTAGAGTGGATATCCAATGGGCCAACACCCGGGTGGGTAGTTTTTTTCTACATTTAGCCCTCCTTCGGACAAGCAGGACTAAATGTGGAGCAGGAAAGCCACTGCTTGTTTGGTACAAGTGAGTTTGGCGATGTCCCCGAGATCCCTTGTATGCAAGCATGCAGGTCAAAAAGTAAAAAATAATAAGATAAATAAAGATTTAAAATAGTTTTAAAAAATTACAAATTTGAAAAAAAAGTGATAAAAAGTAGAAAAAAATTTAAAAAAATTAAATTGAACCCTGCCACCATCTGGTTGTCATTCTCCATTAAGGGGGGTATGGTGGGGAGGGGGGCGCATTGAGGAACCTGGCGTTGGGGCAGCAGAGAGAGTAAATCCAGCCCTGGCTGTAGAGCAGGGGCAGGGCAACCTCGGCGCTCCAACTGTCATCATTCCTTTGCTTCTGGAAGCCATGACTGTGGCTGTCAGAGTCTTGCAGTGCTGCATGGGATTTGTAGTTTCACCACAGCTGGATGGCTGAGGTTGCCTACCCCTGCTGTAGATTTTTACAGAGAGTAGATCTGTTGTGGCATAACACGGCATTTAAGGCATATCAGCTCTGGCTGCCCCTATAGACATACATACGATATCATTATAGTTTACACATAAAAACAAGTTATTGAACCATTACCACACGCAGACACAATGATATGATAACTAATAGAAGATAATGTATTTGCATATACAGTGTCTCTTTAAAACATTGAAATGATTATCCGTCCTCTTGAGCATTTGTTTCTAATTTCATGCTAAGTGATACATATTCTGAAGGGAGGAAAACACATGTGTACAGATGGCAGATCTATCATTATTTCCAGGTAACGCATTATAATAACTAGCAGGATAACAGCAATGAGGAATAATTACACTGCATTTCACGGCGTCATTGTGTTGTTGAGTGGCACCAACCGAAATCAAAACCAGCGATTGAAAATGTCATATTATGCAACGAAAACATCATTTACATGTTACGTTTTATGTATTGCAGTATTCGCAAATGAGGGATGAAGTGTTCAAGTCCAACCTGGTCTGTGCATTCATGGTTCTAATCTTTATCACCGCAATCCAAAGCTTGCTTCCGTCTTCAAGGTAAATGCCATCTTTCATATATTTTGGATTTGTTCTGTTTCATTGTGAAGAGCAAAAGGCCAGCATAAGGATACGGACTTGTCTCCGGTATTGGTGTGGTCTCCCTGTAGCTGATCTTTTCCCCATAACTGAATTAACCATTTATTGTTCTGGACTCTTTGTGTGGAGGTGGCCATCTTGTTAGAGGCAGGGCTTTGCTTCCTCATGTCAGAGCTTCCAGCAAGGAGAACAATGAGCAGCATAATAATGATATCACCAAATCTCACTCCAGATCTCCTGAGACTAGCAGTCAGAGGCAGCAGTGCCTGAGATCTCACACTGCAGTTATACAGCTATGGGGCTACAGTACAGGAGTGCCCAGGCACCCTCACCTACCAGGAAGTGCAATGTTATTTTAAAGGAGGAACAAAACAGGAAGACAAAAGGTACATTTCTCTTCCGTTCATTTAAGGACACAGTGAATATCTCCAGATCTAGGTACCTTGATTCCCCTTGCTCCCCTGTGTTGTGCATACAGTGGTGCTTGGTGCTGCTCACTGTCATGGGGCTGCCCCTAGGCTGTGCTTTTGTTTTTCGTGCCTAGTCTCCTACTCCTGAAGGTGGCGCTCTAAACCCAGTAGTCAGATGTTTGTCCTTAAGGGCTGGTTCACACCACAAAGGCTGTGTTCCTGAGCGTTCGGCCTCTGGAACGCAAGCCGGCCAGCTCCCTGCGTTCAGGGGTGTGGCGGTACATTAAAGTCAGTCACACCGCAGCCACGCCCCTAGCCCGCAGTGCGATCGCCCACACCCGGAACGGCAGAGGCCAAACGCACTGGAACGGGGGCTTTGTGGTGTGAGCCGGCCCTAAATAAAAGCTGAGAAAAGCATTTTATGGTGAGTACAAAAAAAGATCCTTTATTTTCAGGGTACTGCTTAGGCAATGTTAAAGCAGATTCCGGGGAAAACTATTGCTAACCCTTGCAGTGGGGCTACCCCCGCACTGCAAAGGGTTAACTGCACGTTTTGGTCTAGGGAGGAAAATAACAACCTTATACTCACCCGATCTTTGGAGATGGCCATCTGTGACAGTGCTTTCCTCTCATACGCTGCAGCAATGGAATGTCCATTGGTGTCCTCACATTCTATACACTGTGTACGGGACGTTAGACCACTGCAGTGGAGGGGGGCAAGAGGCTCCAGGGACCGGTCTAAGACCCAGCAAGCTCCAAGGATCAGATGAATATGCTGTAACTTTTTTATTTTCCTCCCTACACATAAACGAGCAGTTAACCCCTTGCAGTGTGGAGGTAGCCCCACTGCAAGGGTTAATATTAATTTTCCCCTGGAGTTCTTCTTTAACATTTATAAATGTTCCCTATATCAGAGCACTCACTTTCGGGATAACTATTAGAAGCCTATTCCGGAAGATAGAAGCCTGACTGTGCTTCCATTCGTATTCCTATACACCCACGGAGATCACAAACAGGTGCTGAGTAGGAATGAGCAGAGCCATTTTAGCGAAATTGATGTTGCTGTGAAATTACCATTGTTGATGTCGGCAAATATCACAGAAGTGGAAACTCTAAATTTGGGTAATTTGGGCTGCATCGTCAAAAATGTTATTTTGAACAGTTTTCTTTATGCCGTATTTAGGGTAAATATGTTTCTTTATTTGAGGTGCCTGAAAAATGCTCACATGTTTTCCACATGATTTGCTCCTCCTTGTAACAAGCTTTCCATTGGCTAAAAAAAACTGCTCATGCCCCCCACACAAAAGAAACGCTTAGGACTTCCGCTTTATCATTGGCCTCTTATATGTGTAAATAGTATCAAGGCCGCGTTGTAATTATTCTAACGTGCGGGCGGAGATCTCTACCCCCATCATCCGCCTTCACACCTAATGATAAATAAGTTAGCGAACACAAATCTTGATTAAAGCGAGTGTTGGGAAGCAGCTGCGATGCTGCGCGAGTATGAAATCATGTGTCTTGATCTTATTTGGACGATCGTGTCCCCGTAATGGGAACTTAATGCGATGAGTCGGTTCACGCTTGCTGAAAACTCATGGGAGTGGTTGTTTCGTTACGTTTTCCAAAGGTTGACATCTGGGAAAATAACTATGGAACATGTTTCTCGGTATTTGCGCTGTTGAAGAGATACAATCACGTTCTGATTTAAATGAACATCATTTTTTTTTTTTCTTCGACAGCATGACTCAGTTAAGTCTAAAGATAATCATAGGTATAAGACAGAAGTTGGAAAATCCAGGCATTGCGCAATCATTGTGGAGCTCAGTGGTGGCAGGATCATGACCTTGCCAAGGGTTTAGGCTTACAATATGCCCTGCCATTCATTTACTATTGAGTCAGACAGTCATGGGGTTCTCTTAGAGTAACCCTCCACCTACTGATACCTTTGCCATACCCAACCCCCACCCACGCTCCTATATTTAAAATCATTCTTAGTATGGATGATTTGACCTTCTCCCCTTCCTTCCAGGATGCAGTGGTTGGCAACCTGAGAAGACCAACTCTGTAACATAGTGGGGTAGGAAGTTATTAAAGTGTGTCTAACCCAAAGAGCACGTTCAAAATCGTCTAGCCCTTTCTTTCCCAGCCTGACTTTCCCTGGTCCACCCCTTACATTCACTGGATGTCAGATCTTTTAATTATGGAGCCTCAGCATTACATGTGGACATTATCTAGACATGCAATTGCAGTTTGCATAGGAATGCCCACTTCTCCAGACTGACACCCACCCAGCAAGGCACATTTCTGGGGGGTTTTCAGTCATGGAGGGTCAGCCTCCCAAGTGGGCATTACCTATGGTGGTCTTCATGCAATTGCATTCTGCCAAGGAATGCCCACTTCTCCAGACTGACACCCACCCAGCAAGGCACATTTCTGTGGGGTTTTCAGTCATGGATGTTCAGCATCCCAAGTGGGCATTACCTAGGGCGGTCTTCATGCAATTGCATTCTGCCAAGGAATGCCCACTTCTCCAGACTGACACCCACCCAGCAAGGCACATTTCTGTGGGGTTTTCAGTCATGGATGTTCAGCATCCCAAGTGGGCATTACCTAGGGCGGTCTTCATGCAATTGCATTCTGCCAAGGAATGCCCACTTCTACAGACTGACACCCACCCATCATGGCATTTTTGAAATTCCTACAACTCCTCCCTAGAAACGGCCTCCACTTACATTAGGACTGAGTACTGAGGCTGTGATGTTTTCCGGAAGCTTTGAACAGCCCCCTGCCGGCCACTAACACCAGCCATGATCTGCCTGCATTGCATAGGGAAGCAAAGAGACTCAGTGATGATGTCACAGGGTCTAAAATAATGTATGTAATGAAAATGGAAAGCTTTTATTTAAACATTTTATTAGCATGTTGATAGGAAGGGGGAGTGGGCAAGCCAATTACACTTCAGCATTAACAAACGAAAAGGGAGCATTTACATACACTTCAACCCTGTAGAGGATCCATCATGGAGCTTACATCAGGTTAGGACTCCTGGCTATGACGGTGGAACAGAGCGGCAGGGAAAAATGGCAGAGGTGAAGAGGTGAATATGGGGGGGGGTGTTCTTGTGACTTGGGGACAAAATGTTAGATTTTATATCCATTTCAAGAAAATAATGCAAGAGAGAAAAAAGAAATAGAGCAACTTTTTAGCAATGCTCCAACATTGTTTCTGAGATACATAATTGTGTCTTTTTACATGCTCATGTTTTCCATCCCTACTAATCTTAAACTCACTGCAGCAGTCATCCTCCTTACATCTTAGATCTAGAATCCATTGACAGGAGCCAGAGACAGAGCCGTGTTTTTCCAAGCAGCGGAGGCAGCACAAAGGAGCTCTTCTGCGGAGATGTACTTAGCAAAATTGCTCTTGTGACACACTTGCTATTTGCAAACAAAAAAATAGATAGCGCTGAATGGAGCATTTTCTCCCCTCTTAAAGCTTTCCAAATTAGACACCGGGAGCATTTGAGAAATATTTAAGGTGGAGTAGTTTTCATGCAACCAGCATGAGGTTATGTTATGAGGATAGACATAACGCATTCTTGACTGCTGTGCTTTAAAGTGAACCTGTGACCAGGCTATGGTATTTACATATATAATATATATATATATCATATATGTGTATATTCAAAGCCATAAATAAATATATTCAAAGCCTTAACTTTAAAACAAGCTGTCACTGACATCTGTAGCTGTAGGCACTATGGAGCAATTCAGTATTAAATTTCAGCAACAGCACTGAAGATGTTCTAATAGTTTTATCATCAACTCATTTCACTCTGACCTTTCCCTCCCAGCAGTGCCTCTGCTTTCCCATTCAGTGAATGGACAGCTCTCCTCTCCTTGTTTCCCAATGGCAGTGTTAACTCACCAAATCTGACTCAGCAGCTCAGGTCACCCAGTACCCCATCCCAGCAGTGATTTAGTAGCTCAGCCCTCCTCTTAGCAATAGCTCAGCTCATCCAGTACCCCCTTCCTATTAGTGATTTAGCAGCTCCCACTGCCTTACATTTCAGCAATTACTTAAAAACTCTGCTCACTCAGTACGGTCCCCCTCCCCCATCAGAGATTGAGCAGCCTTCCACCTGTATAATCTCTGCTGAAAATGCAGGAGCACTGGCAGAGTGAGCTGCACTACTGAGTCACTACTGGGAGGAAGGAGCAGTAAGAACTGAGCTGCTTTTTGGCACTAATAGAGCACTTATGTGTCAGAAGGCAAATCCGTTGCCATTGGATATCGGTAAAGGAGCATTGTAGGTCAGGTTCCCACAAACTCTTACTATGAGGGGAAGGGGAAACCGATTTCCTTAGAGTATCAATAAGCAGAGCAAGTAGATATCAAATGGGAAGTTGGAGACGTGTCATTGAAAATAGATTCAAAGGGAGTAAGGGGGCGAGAAAAAAAATCCTTATGAGGGTGAGAGAAGATGTAAGATCTAATGTGGAGGCAGAAACACCAAGGGATGTGAGTTTATATTTGGAGATGACCAATCCAAGAGAGAGAAAGTCTCTCACCACAAGTGCAGGAGAGGAACAGGAGAAGAATGAGGGGGAGAGACTTTGTGGAAAGTCAAAATTATCTCGAATAGGAGTAAGAGGGCAAAAAGGTGAAGTAGGAGTGTTAGTTTTAGAGATGATTCATATATGTGACAGGTCTTCTTTACAACTAGAACAGAAACCAAGGAAAGGCAGATGACGCAATTAAGAGGGTCGCTCATCGGAGGTCAGTTAAGAAATATGTATACGCTTTATGCTGATTGCTGGTACCATGAGGATGGGGACCGGCACTACAATGGACAAGATCAGTGCCTACCTTTCATTCTGTCCTTTGTACCATCAGAAATGATGAATCCAATAATATAAGAGCTTGCTCTTGACTTTTATGTATATAATGCCGTGATGGTTTACATCTCAACGCATTTCGCACAGGAGGGGACAAAACCCAGACACGATGGCCGCCAAAACCCCCACTACTCCGATATCTTACAATAGTGGTCCTGTAAACCCCCGCTTAGAGACATGTGCCTCCCTCTTGAGAAGGCTTTCATAGAGAAGCATGCCGAAATGTAGACCAGATGTACATGGTCCTTCTTTGTGCTCGAATGGTAAATCGACACGCACATGGAGCAAGCCATATGAGATGCAAAAGATAAAAGGGTGGAGGAGGTCAACACCAATATGGATTGCGCACAAAAAGAAAATGTCTACGGCACTGATTGATTCTGCAGGCGGTGATGCAACTAAAGTTTTATATGAACACCTCACTCCTGAGGAAGCTTTTACAGTAAAACGTGTCGAGATGTACACCAGCACGCCATCATATACATGTATACAGTCAAGAGCAAGCTCTTATATTAGTGACTTCATTTTTGAGACGAGGATAAAGCAAATTCCTATCAAATGCCATTGTCTTCTCTTCGGTTTACAGGAGGTGTTTCGGTTGTATGCAGGAGGATTGTTTTTATTGATGTGGACATTGTTTTCCAGTGTATAAATAAATGGGGATGTTTTAGAGTCTATATATATACATATAGACTCTCAGGGTTATTCACAGAAGGGTGAAGGGTTTGGAGATGGCAGGAGACGTGAACAATCTAGGACAACATAGCCCAACTGGAAAGTGAGCTTATTTCAAGACTTTTTCCAAATCAGCTATGTTGTCCTAGATTGTTCACTTATCCTGCCTTCTCCAAACCCTTCACCCTTTTGTGAATAACCCTGTATGTTTTATGGGCTACTGGTAAAACCCCACTTCACTCTAATTCTGGATTTTGTATCAATATCAGGGGTGCGGTACCTGTACCTATCAGGGGTGCTGTACCTGTACCCAGGGCCTTAACTACAGATCATGGGGTCCCATAGAAAAAATTTGATGGGGCTCCCCCTGATGACCTCTCTCTGAGCTTTGAGTAACGATGGCAAATTCTCAACGACTACTTTTGTGCATCTGAAGTCGTCTCCACACTGTAGACTTTAACACCAACCCTTAATGATACATTACTGAATCATCATCACATGTTCTGTACAAATTGCCTCAACAACCTAATGGGGCCCCTTTCCACCCCCCAGGCCCCATAGCAGCCATGAACAACAGTTGCCTCCTCTGTTTTCTTGCCATGCCCTGAATATCTTCTTTTTCTTTTTGTAGGATGATGCCGATGGTGATTCAGTTTTCGATTCTGATCATGTTGCACTCGGCGCTGGTCCTGATAACGACCGCGGAGGATTATAAATGTCTTCCCCTGGTGCTCCGGAAAACCTGCTGCTGGATTAATGAGACGTACTTGGCGAGGAATGTCATCATCTTCGCATCCATTTTGATTAATTTCCTCGGAGCCGTAATCAATATCGTAAGTCATTTCACCGCGGGAATGCCTGAGATTGTGGGTGGCGGGAGCGAGAGGGAGGAAGAGAACACAGAATTCTCTCTATGACAATAATTAGAGATGAATGTTCACAAAGAGCCATATACATTACAGTGACAACCCCAGGCATATCGCTTTCCTTCGGTTTTATGTTCATGCGAGTCTCATTAAATCATTTTTCAGATTCTTTGCCTGAAATCGACCTTTATATGGAGCTGTGTTTGAAAGCTGACATTAGGCTTGAAGTGGGAGTGGCTTCTCTTACGGGCAGGAACAAGAACTTCGTATCGTATATCTAGATCTAAAAATAAGGGAGCTTTTTTTGCTATTGGCGTCTCATTGGGAGATTTTAGTTCACTTCCTGTTTCAGAGACATAAGAGGAAGTGAGCCGAAATCTGTCCAAAGCGAAGGGAAAGCTCCTTTAATTGTTGGAAGATTTCCCCTCTGTTCCTGTTCTGATGACAAGAATATTTGAAATAATATATATTTATCACATTTTTTTTAATTTCGGTTTTGAAATTTTCATTTCTGTGCACCTCTAATATATATTATACAGTATATATCCTTTATCCTAAACATGGCCTTATTTTCAGCCAATGACCAAAGCACCCATGTAATGCATATAACACAATTTCATTTGCAGTGTATTCATGCAGATTCTGCCTCTTGGTGTGTTTTTGTTTTTTGTTCTTTCCCTAATTTCGTGCTTTGCAAATTCCCAATCTGCATAAATGACTTTGCGGGAAGGGAAAAAAATAAAAGTTTTGAGGAAAACAAGATTAAGTGCCAGCACTCCGTTCCACCTAATGAAACTTCTGCAATTTCCTTTAAATAAGATCTGGGATTTTTTTTTTTTTATCACAAAGAAGCCAAATTATGTTGGCTCTTTTTACTCAGAAAACAAATTTGCAGCCGGGAATGAAATCTGGGCAGCTGCTGTAAATATATGCGGCACAGCTTGCCTACATCAGTATAACGCAGAGAGGTATTGAAGAGCAGAGCGTTCATACCAGGATAATCAGGGCAGAGGGGATCGGTAGGAGCAATTATATGTTAATTTTAAAGGAGAACTATGAGGTGAGTGCTTTTCACTCACCTCATAGTTCTAGCCGATGTATACTGTGGCGTCTCAGTATACCGCGAGCAGTAGCTTTAACTTATCAGGGGTAGAAGACTTGGGCACTCCAGCTGTGATGACACTGCAAGTCCCATCATGCCTCTGGGAATCAAGCCTGTTGCTGTCAGGGTCTTTCCATGCTTCATGGGAATGCTGAGGCTACCTACCGCTGGAGTAGGCCATCGCTGACAATACCACTTGTCTGGCTCTCATACTGGCCCTCTTTCTTCAATAGCTTGAACCACTGACCTAAAACAAGTATACAGATAAGGACTTCTGATGTTCCCCTCTACAGTCTCTATCCTGAACTGCTATGTACTGTTCTAGGTTAGTGCACAATATTGAACAGGAACATACACAAAATTAGCATTTTCAGAATGAGGTCACCATGGTAGCCCCTGTGTTTCTTCTTTTTCAACAGGTTTACTTTAAAATGTAGTTGTGACCTGGCAATAGACAGTCAAGTGTATACATAATATTGAGAAGCAGTAAATGAACTGTAAAACAAGCCCTGACTGATCTCTGTAGTTGCAGGCACAGTGGTGCAATTCATCCTCAAAGTTCACTCTAGATGTGCTGCAGTTGTTTACATAATTCTCTCAGTTCCTACTGTTCCTCCCTCCCAGCAGTGACTGAGCAGCTCGACTTCCCCTGTCAGGAGTGCGATGTTGCCTACCCCTGCTCTTATTGTTCTACTCATACCCTTCACAAAAACTCACCCAACTCTTTATTCTCCATAGAGTATACTGAGCCATACAACAGCTGTGTATGACCGTATTAGCTATATTAAAATCCCAAGCAACCCTTTCTGTCAGATTACCGCACACCTTCCCTTCTCCTCATCACCATTATGTAAGGGGGAGGTGTTCTGTAGTACAAAATAAAGAACTGGGCAGGGCTGACAACCCTGATTGAGATTGCAGTGTTGCAGAGGCAGCGTTGTCAACTCAAATAGGAACTTGGAACCTTACTGGATTTTTCTGTACTTGCATTGTTTTTAAAGAGACAAACCATGGGGAAATGTACATGTATTGCAGAGATGTGCTGAATATGTTTGATTTGATTTGATTCCCTGACACACTGCTTAATGCTTGTTGTAAGGGAGGGAATATTGGACTGAAAGGGAAATGCTTTGAGTAATGAAGCCAAATGTATTTAAATAAAGAATTTGACACTAGGTCACCACAACAGGCAATTTACTTCTTCTGGAGTAGGTCAGCAGAGGCAGTCCCTATGTTGCTCAATTGACTTTTTTACTTTGGAGAGATACAATGAGCTTGGCTGTTACAATTGTCACAGCTGAGGGTCCCATCCAGCACTGGAAGCTTTCATTGCCCAACTTTCAGGATCAATGCTAGTTCCAAGGCTGGCGTGTGACTGTGCATGATGTAACACAGCTTTGCTGTATCCCAAAATTGGCACCCCGTGCTAGCCTTGGCATTAACGGCCCCCAGTGCTGGATGGGAGCCTCTGCCGTGTACAGAACACTGTCCTTGCAGCATTTCTCTCTTTCTATCTATCCATTCTCTCTCTCTCTCTCTCTCTCTCTCTCCATATTTATGATATATACAATATTTGTTTTACAATTAAGCATTTAATACATGAAAAATGATTCCCAGAGCACAAATTGAAGTTGTCTCCTTTCTGACAAGCTGTCTCTCATTTCAATCTCAGACATATTTTGTTATAAAAATATATTTCTTTAGGTCTTATGAGTATAAATAAATAAAGAAGATATGTATAACAACACTCTGTATTGCCTATAAGGAGAATTTGCAAAATAGAAGCCACTTATGGAAGCAGCTATGGGTCAACCCATGCACCAAGTCTGACTACCCTACTCTGTCACTCATTGGCACTGCCAGTGATGAGCAGGCCCCAGTGAAGGATTTCAGCTGTCCCACTCTGTACACACATACGCTGCCCCTGCTTTGAAACTTTCTT